ACAGAAATATTTTAGTGGCTCATCATGACTGGGTACCAGACATGTGAGATTTGCTTCTTCTTTCTTTTTAGACAGTATTTCAGAGGGAGCTGATGCCACCTCATCAAGACTCACTATCTTATGATTAGCAAATTCTGTCCACTGCTTATGCATTGCTATACACTTTTTACAAAGGAACTTACTGCATTCCCTGCAGCATCTAGTGGCATTAGCTGAGTTGCAGTTGTCACAAGCAACCTTTTCAGGATCAGCTACTTTCTGCATTAAACTGTGTACCTCCTTGAGATTTTTGAGAGTGAATGCTACAGGAAAAGCTCCTGCTCCTTCTTCTGGTAACTCTGTACAATGACAACAAGTGGGGCAAGAGAGGTAATAGGTCTCATTCTTCTTATCCAGTGGTAATCCCTCCAGACAGTGCTGGCAGAATGAATGTAGACAAGATAAAGTCTTGGGGTTGGTATAAATGTCAAGGCAAATCGTGCAAGTGAGCTGTTCCTCCAGTTTTAAGAGACCTGGAGAAGAGGAAGATGGTTCAACTGCCATTTTAAAACAAGACAACTCTCAAGACACCAAATTAACAAAAGGCAATCATGTGACCTGACAGGATTACTAATAATAACACAAAAGTATATACTAGATCAAAGCCTTACTGTCACTATACTAAGCAAGGAGCCTTTTATGTCTGCACTATACAATAACAGTTATTATACCAAGAACAAATTTCCCCACCCATCAATGACAAAGCATAAGGATTCAGGTGACCTGAAGAAAATTAATTAGAAACTGGTACTATACAGGAGTGTATTATGTACTTATGAAAAACATTTAATGTTTTAGGTTCAGAATATTTGTGCACATGTTGTGACCATACTGAGTGCTATATAACACAACTGTATACCCAAGAATTAATTACATTTACACGGAACCGGAATAAATACATGTATATGTAATACAAATTATCTCTAAAACTGGAAGATAGTGGTTGATAATATTTGTTGACTTGAATGTCTGAATTACATGTACATCTGTGTTTATTAAGGTCTTTAGTGTCCATACATTTTAGGCTCAAGAATCCAATGTAACTTTCTAGCTGACTTTCATTTAGGAGGGGGCAGGGAAAGTAATTGGCTATAAATACACCTTTAAAGTATTGCTTTAATATTACTCACAGAGACTCCATAGCTGTTGTAGGATATTCATGATACCATAAGACACTAATTAAAGAATAAAAAGAAAAACTTTTGTCTGTACATAAATATACTGTAGTATATTACATATACAAAGTTAATACCACTTCCCTCTATTTGTATGACCTTCATTTTAATAATTCAGAAATTCACTCTTCACATACAAATCTGTCCCTCCTCTCTTTAGCTTCCAAGGTTTGAAGCTCCAATGGTTGTCATACTCCAGATGAACTGGAAACACTATCAGAAAACTGCAGTGACCTACACGTGCATGTACATAAAACAAGTAATTACTAATACTGTACGACAAACTACTAATTGATTCTATATTAATGTACTTTGCTGTACATTTACATGTAGCAGGCAAAAAATAGCTACATTGTAATAAACTGAGTCAGTTAATACAAATCATCAGTTAGGGATTCAGTCCCGAAAGATGGTTAATGATATAATGTTGTATCATCATTCTCAGTTAATACTTGATTCGAAAGAGATGGAATTAATCAGAGTAATATGCAGAGTTTCCTACAGAATTTTGGCATAATGCTCCTGCAGCTTCTTGTCAGTGGGTTATAAAATTGGGCCAAACAACCTGCTTTCTAATACAGGGTATGTGGCCAAATTTCATCAATAATGAAAAGGAGAAAAATTTCTATTTTTATAATTATTTCTGATACATATACATATTCTTATGTTGTGTAAAAAGTTTTAACTGATATTAATGAAGTTTGGATTTTATAAGAATTTTTAAAAGTTGCTCAAAAATTGAGCAAAAGTCCCTGTACTATAGTACAGGGTCTTGGCCAAATTTTGTCAAAAATGACAAGGAGAGATTTTTCCATTTTTATAATTTTTTCTGATACATGTACAGGTACTTTTGTTGTGTAGAAAGTTTGAACTCATTCCAAACAAGTTTGGATTTTCTACAAATTTTTAAAAAGTAATCAAAAATTTGGCCAAGGTCCCTTGTACTAGATGTACATGTAAAAATGGCTCAAAATACCCCTAAATTTTCATTACATTTTCTGAGGCATAATGATGTACATGTACTGTGTGTATATGTTACGTGTTATATACAGTGTACATATAAAGTTTTAATAACATACCTTATGCTGTCTATCTTGTGATGCAGAAAGTCCGAGAGGTAGAGAGAAGGTGTGATCAAATTGGACCAATGTATAAAAATGGCTCACAAATCCGGGCCCATTTCCATTTCTGATGCATATTGATGTACAATGTACATGTACTGTACTTATGCTACGTGTTTAACATACCTTACGCTGCCTAGCCTGTGATTTTGTTGGAATGCAAAAAAGTCCGAGAGGCAGAGAGAGGGTGTGGTCAATCCTATGGGTCATGATATGTGCTTCAGTTTGAAAGGCCAAAAGGTCACGGGAACACACAAAGGACAAACAACCTCCTGAATACTTAGGAAATGATTTAAAATTATATTTAAAAACCTTATTTTGTACCCGATTAACATGTAAAATTTGACTAAAAGAGCAATCAATATAGGCACTGACACTATCAATAGAAGACTTTATTTTTATCTAAAAGTTCATGACATCATTATTACATCAAACAGTATGTTACTAACTTTAGCTTCAACACAACACTGCTAACATCATCTCCCTCGTCTGTTTCAAGTGGGCATGGCTCCTTGTAACTAACAGCAACGACTTCAACGAGCACCTCCCCTTGAACAAATTCTGAAATATCAACTACAAGATGGAGAGAGAGAGAGAGAGAGAGAATAGTACTATACGTTATTAAAATAATTCTATTTTAATTACTGTCTTGAAGTTTGTCAATTTTAGTCTGCCAAGTTTACATGTAGTTCTTCTACTCAAAATTTCATCAATAGATACTGTATAACGCTTTAATTTGGCGGAGTTTTATTTTGGCGATTGGCGGTTTACAAGCAGAATCGCCAATATTAAAACCACCAATCATTAATGCGCATGCTTAGTAATGCAAGTGTACACAAAAATCGCCAAATTAAAAACCACCAATTACAATTTTACAGCAAAATCACCAAAATAAAGCGTTATATGGTAGATGCCATATAGCTGGTAATTTTAAAATACTAAAATTTTATAATAATTAAAAGGCACAGTACATGACCATCAGTAAATCAATCCTTTACTTACTTCACTCAAGACTCCAAGCTCGTTAGGGATTCCTCAGTCATAACACCAAGAGTATCCTTGTAAGGACACTTACTGCTGCAGTGGTTCCTTTACAATAACAACATGAGGCCATTTTGTGTTGAGACCTCAGCTTCTTTAGTCAGTCATCGTCTTGTTCCAGTGTCTCTGTGTTAGTTGTTAGAGTCAAATCAACATCTTCGGATACTTGAGTCTCACTAGAATTAGCTCCTTTCCCGTTAGATCATGAATAGTAGAGCATCCATGGTTAGATGAAGCATCATCAAGCTTGCCCCATTCCCAACGATAAGCAACTGATCTAGGTACATAAGTTTGATTGATCTAATGGTCCATCTTTTTCCATACGGTCAGCCCAGTGAGAACCAATTTCTGTGGAGTCATAAGCCAGAGTGATCGGCTGCGATGATGATCGGCATAACTAGGAGGAAGTCAAGGAACAAAAGAACGAGAAGCTCAAACTCAAAGAAGTCCAACACGTGGTCTAGCCATTGCAGCAAGTAGGGATGAGCCTATTATTCCAGCATAATTTTAGGAATAATAGGGGCTTCCTCATATGAAGCATAATGCTGGAATAATTGGATGAAAATAGGAATAATAGTGGAATAATGGGTGGAGTTGAGGTCAATGGTGATTGCAGAAGAAAATTTAAAAATTTTTGGCTAGTGTTTTTTGGAAGACATATTTTTAAAACACTGCTGGAATGCAATTCTTAGGTGAAAATTGATTGTTTGAGAAAATTATTGAGAATAAATTGAGAATAATAGGATAAAATAAAAAGAATAATGGGGGAAATTATTAAGAATTTCCAGAAAGAATAATGGGAAAATTTATGAGAATAATAGGCTCAACCCTAGCAGCAAGTCAATCTGCGCATGGTCATACCCACGTGATACCATGCATGGTACACACCCTAAACAGGGTGGGGTTTAGGTGTGGTCAATAGGATACTGATTGGATCTTGTTTGTCTTTTTCAGGTCATGTCTAACTCCATCAACATTCATGTCAGTCATGGTTAGTCTGTTAATAATAGTCAGTATCTATTATTTATTGTCACAGGATCAAAGGTAGAGGATATATTGCTGGAGGATCCTGATAGCACTAGCATTGGCGACTTGAAAGCTATTATTCATGAAAAGTTTGGAGTTCCTATTGAAGCACAGAAACTAATATTTAAAGGTCAGTTATTAACGTTTCTGTATATTGAATTACGCATGCCTAATATGATACTCTACATGTACATGATATGTACATTGTAACTTTTAGTGTTAATTTTGTTTTGGATGCTGATTAATATCTTTTACTTGATGTAATATTTAAAATGTACCATTGGTAGTATGTACTAAAACTGAGGTTCATTAAGTAATCAGACTATAATACTGTATTAATTGTGGGTGTTAGTAATTATTGGTGAAATTGATTTGCAATATGTCCATTATGTAATCCAATTGGATTAAGTATGAGTCATTATTAAATAGGAAAGACTCTTAGGAAAGAAGATGAGTTAGTCAGTGAAGCAGGAATAAAGAATAATAGCAAAATAATGCTATTGGGAAGAAAGGTACGTATATCTGTATTTTGTAGCCTTAACTTTAATAACACGGCAAAATAATTTTAGTTATAAATATTTATAGTTTTAGGCTGTGTACAATCAAATTTACATGCCACTTGTATTAATTTAAAGTCAGCTATGAGGGTTCTATGCATGTTCTTGCTGGTCACAGCACGTACATTGTAGATGTACATGTACAAATTATGCATAGTACATGCATATGCATTAAAAGTTTTTGGTAAAGGCATTGCATCCACACTGACTTTGCTGTAATGCTAACTGCAAGTGCTTTAGGCTCACTCCTTAATATGTCTTACATCTTTTTCTAATTTTATTACTGGATAGACTGATCCAGCTCAAGACGAGTGTCTCAAGAAGCTTGACAATATTTCAGAATCAACAAATACTATTGAGAGAAAGATTAAGAAGGTTGAACAAGAGCTGGAGGGGATTGAAAAGGTACTTTCATTGTGCAGTAAATAAATTCTATACACATACATTGTACATGTATGTGTACACATACAAGTGTGTCTCAATACATGTACAATAATAATTACAGCAAAATACCTTAGAGTTAAAGTACTGTACATGTACATAAGCTCCTTCTTGAACTTAGCTTATTTGATTTAAGTTACAAAAATTTCATGGACAAAATTATTGTTTTGAATTACCATCATGTATTCTTCACTATTACCACTAATTATTACTATCACTTTATGTCTGAAGTTAGTGATTGGACTATTTTTGTATATCAGTTTGCAATATGATTTGTTCATTAATGTTCCCTTTTAGTTATAATCTTTGTTATTTCCAGGGTTTCCTGTTGTCAGAGCTAGTCTCTGAATCTTGTGATAAGTTACGTAAACAAAGTTTGTCGTGCAATGAGAATTTAATGAAGAATCTAGAGGAACTAGACACTATAGTAAGTATTTACAGTAACCTACCCTCATAGGTATTATATTCATTTTGTTATTACTCCTTTCATTATTATCATTACAGTAATACCCCTTATGTGTGTATTTGTAGGTACCTTCTGCCACAGAAACTCTTGTGAGAGGAAAGAGAAGGACACTAGTGGTACACATTCAATCATTAATGGTACTAACTGATAAGATAACTGATAGAATTGCCACTGCAAGCACAAAATAATTATTTTGTTTACTATACATGCATATCAATGAATCTATGGCCAATTTTTATATTTTATTTTATTCTAAATAATTAATTTAATGAGAACTTAACTGCCTAGTACTCATGCAGAGCATTATGCAATAGATACACTTGTTCTTGAAGTAATAAGTTATTTCAGAAGGAGCTTTTGCCCCAAGACCATGCATAGATACATACCTTGAATTTGATCTTAATGAGTGTATTCTCAATGTTAGTGTCACTGTATCTTACTGTGTGCACAAGACTGCACCATTATTATGGCCAAAATTATAAAAAGGAGCCCTAAATTACTGAACTATATTAGCTAGGCTATGGATTAATCCATTGTTTGTATTAAAATGTATTTTAAGACCCAGCATAGCTAAACATTTTTATAGCTGATGTTCCTAATAGCAGAAATTAAGGTGCGATTGACTAATGGAGCAACGATATGACTCAGGTTGTCTAAAAAGTTTTCTGATAATGTACATGTACTTATGTTGTGCTGATTCCAACTACCACTTGAACTGATGCCTACCATTCAATCAGAGGAGGAAGAACAAAAGAAGAATGGACATGTTAGTTAAAAAAATACTTGTACATGTAGTGTTGCACAATTATGATTTATGAATGACTACATATCTGAGAGTAAATTGCAGTTGCAAGTTTCAAGCAATTGACCACGCCCTGTTGGGTGGGACTGATATTGCAAGAATGACATCTAAAAGTGAGGGCCACTATTCTCTTCTCTTTGTATCTCTTTCATTCATTCTTTGTCTCTCTTACTCTCTCACTTACTTTCCTCCTCTGTATTCTGTCCTTATTCTAACTCATCACTATATTACTGTTACTCTGTTACAGTAGTACCTCTTGTTCTCTATAGACTATCAACCAGTGAAGAGAAGGGGACACTCCACAGTAAAGGTAGGAGACTACCTATATATGTGGGGTGGGGACGGTTCTGGAGTACACTATGAAGTGATGGAGGTGTATCACTTACCAACTGGTGCTTGGGATCAGAAACCTACTACTGGTACCCCACCACCAGGTACCTGGGCCTATTCATCTGCCACTATAGGGAGGGACATATATTATTTCGGTGGTGGTTGTTTTAATAACAATGTGCACTGTATTAATGTGGATTCATTCAAGTGGAGGGAACTCTCTCCTAGTTCTGATTGTAGTCCAATGAAAAAGGCCTACTGTGGAATGGTATCAGCTCATTTTGATGGTGAAGACTATCTTATAATAATTGGTGGCTATGGATTATCTTCTTCTGTCAATACTCCAAAGCAACCTGATGCTCAGTATTCAGCTGAAGGTAGAAATAATGAGATACATTATTACAGGATTTCATCAGGTCAGTAATTCTTGTCATTGATACACAATAGTTGATTAATATTTTTAACTGAATAATTTTTATTAATGTACACAAAACAGATTGTTAATAATTAAGTGTGTTTGTTAGTGTGTCTCTGTGTGTCATGTGTTTGTGTGTGATGGTGACGTGTGTCTATATGTGACGTGTGTGTGTGTAGTGCAGAGCCTGAAATTACAGTCGGACATCAGACATTTTCCGACCATTTTGCTTAATTGTCCGACCAACTACCGTGTTGTTCTACCATTTTGTCTGAACATTAGTAAACAACACAAAATTTTTATTAGTAATTATTACTAAATTAATGGTTATGCTTTTGTAAAAAAAATTTTTAATTAAACTCACTAACAAGCACACACATTGACACATAAATGACCCGGCCCTAATATGTGTAAAAAGGATAAATGAACATGTTCGACCATTTCATTCAAATGTCAGACCAAAATAGGCTGTGTTCAGACATAATGTCAGAACACTGTTTGAATGTAATTTCAGGCTCTGTACTAATACATACATTATGATGTGTCTGTGTATGATAGTGCATATAATGTATGTGAGAATTTATGAATGTATGATGTGTGTATGTGATGTGTATCTATAATGTGCATGTTATGTGTGTGTGAGTATTATCATGTATCTGTGTGTGTGTGATGTTTGTATATGTACATGTATCTATACATAAGCTAATGTGACATGAGTGTGTGTGTGTGTAGGTTGACTAGGTTCATGTTATTTATTATCATTTTTAATAAAGTTCTGTATCACATGAGTCACAAAGTACGCACATACAATGTTCCATCAGTTTTGTATAATTATTCATTAACAATCATAACTGAAATGTACCATGCAGAATAGATTAGTAATCTTCAAATAAGGACACCCCTGCATCTCTCCTTCATGTTTACAGGTGTGATGGTGTGTGTATCCATACATGAGTGTGTGTGTGTGTGTGTGTGTGTGTGTGTGTATCATGTGATAGTGATGTGTGTCTATGCATGATGTGTATGTATAGATGAATGTGTATAATGTATGTGTGTGTGTGTGGTAAGTAAGAGTACATGAATGTTTGTTCATTGTTATTAGATCAATGGATATCTCCTGTTGTTACTGGAGATAGACCACCTCCTACTGAACAATTCACTCTAACACCAGTTACTAATAACACTGCAGTAATGTTCGGGGGCTATACTGATAATGGATGCAGTAATAAACTGTATATGATAAGTTTCACTAAGACATCAGTGGTGAGTTAATACTGTTTTGATTGTGAGATTTTTATGATTGTATATTATGGGTTAATTTTCAATTAAATTGCAATTGAAAGAATTGTATAAAACTACATTGACGTGACTTGACATGTATGCATGGAAATTGAATTCAATTAAATGCATGCAATGTAGATTATTTTGCCACTAACCCAATCTTATTGATGCACAATCTAAGCTCAGTCTATAGTAATAATTAATAATATTAATGAATAATTTTGATATTCTTTCAGGATATATTAGAAGTACATAATCCTGGAGAATCAGTACAATGGCCTAAGGAAAGATATGGTCATTCCAGTGTACTGATTACCACTAGTTCAGGACCACACTTACTAGTGGTGGGTGGATCAACTGTTTATGATGCATGGTTACTGGACATTAACAAAAGAAAATGGAAAGAACTGGTAAGTATTATATCATGATGCTTGATAATGAAACATAAAGTGATTAACTAAATTTGTAACTCATGAGGTTTGTAATGTACATGTACATATTATGATACTCAGTGAAAACTACTGATGAATAATGCTGGTATTCAGTATGTGTGTCTGCCTGTTTTCTTTTTGTGTTTTGTGTTTGTTACTTTACCTAAATATGTGTGAATATACATGTACATGTTTCTGTCTGACTGTGTAAAGATGAATTCACATTTGATACAGTGTCGATGCTGGGATTAAATAAATTCTACTTTACATACATACATGTATGTATTTGTGTGTATGTGTGCATATGTTTCAATATGTGTATGTGTGTACTAACACGTACATCATGTGTACATGTAACATGTACATGTGTGTGTATTTGTGTGAGCAATTATGCATGTGAGAAGAGTGCGTTTTCAGCTCTGAGAACTGATCTTAGCTAGAGCGATGACACCCAGCTATCCTCGGACCGTCGAACTCCTAGGTCAAGAATGGGTAAAGATCGAGATCAGGAACAGCCCTCTGACTCGTCCACTATCACCGTCGTCCTTCCAGATAGGGGAACTGGATCGTAGAATTGACTGTTGACAACAAATTCAGGTTGGGGAGTCGATACTCCAAATATCTTTGTGAATGAAATAGGTCAAAGACCTTCCTCTCTCTCAACAGTATCAACAATAAACCAAACAAGTGGTAGATAGAGTAGAGTACAGTACACAAAAAATAATAAAATGGTCGTATTTATAGTTTGACAATCCATGAATAATAATTATTAATAATCACTAATAACCAATAATTAATCATCAGGAATCTTGAAGATTCCACAGCATGCTTTACATGTACCTTTATATGTGTATTCATGTATAGATGTACATGTATGTGTGTTAGTGTGTCATTAGTATGTGTATGTGTATGTGTGTACATGCAGACACTTAGTAAGTTCTTAATTGAGGACTCACATGACATAATAACACACTCAGTTGTGTATGCAGTCAAACCTCTCTAAGACAGACACCTATGGACCAGCCATCACTGTCCTTTATACAGAGGTGTCCTTAAATTGGAGGTTATCCCATGCTAATCAGACCAGAAAATCTGCCATTTTCTTGATGCGCGTTAATTAGAAAGTCCGTTGCGTGGGCCGTATCTGTCTGTTGGAGGCTAATTTGTACACATGTAGATGTGGGGGACAGTAAATCTCGTCCGTTATACAGAATACTGGTAGATAGGTTCCGATATACAGAGGTTCTTTTATAGAGAGGTGTCCGCTAATTAGGGGTTCATTTTAGAAAGGTTTGACTGTACTTGTCTATCAATATATATTATATATTATTAATTTTATTATGTCATCTTTGGTTGCATAAAACACACTGTGCAGACTATAAAAGTGTCAGTTAGTTATTGTGTTTATTAACCAGATATCAAATCAATTAATATGTCATACACGATTTAATTATTATCATTTTATTTTTATAGATTTATCTACCGGTCAATGTCACTTACAGATACTATCATTCTCTCTTAGTGTGGAGTGTGACCCCAACTACTAACTGGATAATTGAGTTTGGAGGATCTGACTACACAACATACAGTGATACAGCAGTTCTTGAACTCAGTAAGTACATGTAGTCACTCAGTAGTAGATAAAGTATTATTGAAGTATTATAAAGTATTACTATTTAATTATTTGACATATACCTATGATACTAATCTAATAAGGTTACTATGGTAATTAATTTGTGTATTTCTTATTCTCCACTATTTTGTTACTGTATAGGATATACTAGTGATAATGATTGGTCTACTAGTGTAATACCTCTGGATCAGTATCAAGATCAACTAAGAAGAAGGATACTGAGTGATTGGGAGAATTTAAGAACAGAAAAACAGCTTCAAATATTTCAAGATTGTCTGCAATTACAAAGAGAGAGGGTATTTTATCAGGAACAGCTTCAAAAAGAAATAAAAGAGAAGGAGCAGATACAGCAAGATCGAGACAAAGAGCAGCAACAGCTTCTTCAAAAAAAGGCAATACTTACTCAGCAACTTGATGATGCTACCACTCTCCTTGAGCAAGCAGAAAAGGATAAATCATGTGTTAAATTAGGTACTATTGTGTTGCACTGTTGTTTATGTGTACATTGTTTACATTATAATACTAGTGGATTAGACAATGTTGAGTATGGAAATAGTATCCTGTACTCAATATAGGTCAAATTGTCCATGCATTACAAATAATGAGATTGATGTAGAGTGAGCTCTGCTTACCATATATGGTATGATTAGCAATAATCATAGTACATGTATTTATGGGCTACTGTACATGCAGTCAGTGCAAATTTGTTTAAGCAGCAAATATCATTTAATTTTCTATTTCTGTATTTTTATTGATAATAGAAGATTATGAAAAGCTTAAAGTTAAAGTTGCTGAAATTTTGGAAGAGAAGACACTAGTAGAGGGGAAGAAACAGATTATTACTGGTAGTGTATCATCAGAACATAATATTAGATGAGACAATATTCTATTAATGTAGAAGATTATGAGAAACTAAAACTCAAAGTTGCTGAACTTTTGGAAGAGAAGGAGGAGCAATGTCTCAAGGAGAAACAGATCATTATTGGTTAGTTAACTATACACACAGTATGTATTAGATGAGAGAATATGTTTATTGTGTAGACAATGTTCAAAATCTCAAAACTGAAATTTCTGAGAAAGACAAAGTTATAGCCAAACTGACATCGCAAGTAGAGGAACAATCTCAGAATGAGGAACAGATCATTACTGGTTAGTGTATAATCATCAATCAATAATAATTATTAATATTCTATTAATTTATAGACCTTAGAGCTAAATTGTCTGATAATGAATTGTATACAACCAAGCTAATGAAGGAGAAGTCACAACTACAGGAGAGAGTCACATCCTTAGAGGAACAATCCATCAAAAAGACTAGTTCCATTGGACTACAATTTAATTATCTGATCCCTTCAATGGGTAAGAGTATTATTGTGTGACTGACTGAGTGCAGGGTTTCTCACAGGATTTTGGTATATAGTGGTCATGCAGCTTATTGTCAGCCTATTCTCAAGTTGCTCAAAAATTTGCCCAAAGGACCCTGTACAGTGGTACAGGGTATTTTGATAAAAATCACAAGGATGATTATAGTCATTTTTCCAATATACATGTATATGCATGTTCTTATGTTGTGTATAAACTTTGAGCTAATTCTGATCAAGTTTGCATTTTTATGATTTTTTAATTTGCTCCAAATGCCATGTACTGTATATTAAGTGCTTGTCAGGTCATGCTATTTTTCTCACTTAACATGCTTTGTGGGAAACCCTGACTGAGTGTATGCAATTGTGCGTGTACTCACTGTGTATATTTTGTATCATTGACAGGTAATTTGGATTGCCTGAGTGATGTCCAGGTAGCAGAGAGGAAATTGTTCTTAATTCAAGGAGACAAACCTCAACTGATGAATTGGGAGAAATATGGTCTAAGGATTGGAGTACAAAAGGAGAGCTTACTGTCCTCTGAGACAGTAGAAGCAGCAGTGGTTGCTCTTGTAGGAGGACAGTTCCAGTTTCCTCCTAATACTGTCCTAGTGAGTGCTGTGTATGCAGTATCACTCTCAAAGCCTCTCCTCAAACAGCTCATATTAGAAATACAGCACTGCGTTAATTTAACAGGACGACCAGCTCTTAGTCGTCATCTCAATTTTGCCATAGCTCCCCTGAGCATACCCAGTCTTCCTTACCAGTTCTCCATAGTCGAGGGAGGAGAGTTCAAACCTGATAGTTGGTATGGATCCATTCAACGTAAAGAGTTCTGTTTGGTGTGTGTGCTGGGAGAAGGATCAGCTAATAAAGGTGGTAATGTTGTCCATATAGCATCAGTTAATGGAGACACAGAGGAAGGAGAGGAGGGAGAACAGCAACCACAACAAGAGGAGAATGAGGAGGGAGAGGAATCAGAGGAAGAAGTTGAGGAGCAGTTGAATTACAAGGAAGAAGAACAAGAAGAGGAGGAGCAAGATGAGGAGGGAGATCAAGAGAGAGGTGATGATGATGATGACAGTGATTCCTCCAGTGATAAGACTAGCAGTACTGCACCAGGTGCTAGTGGAGCCAAAGGTCAGCTAGTGAGTGCAAGTACTTAATTTAGATCTGCATATAGAGTCTGCAAAAGATGGGGAGAAAGCAAAGGAAGATGATGATTCAAAAGCAACTGGTGCTGCAGCCACATTGCCTCTGCTCCAATCTGAGAATAAGACTGAAGATATCTCTGATAGTCCAGTTAACAGTAAGTATATTCATTAATGTATAGAATTATTTGTACTGATATCACTGCAAAAGAGGAGTCCACTGGTGTAGCAGAGGCTATGTCATATGCTGGAATACTTTATTACAAACAAGATGGAGTCCAAGACCTAGTTACTTTTACTTCAGCTAAGAAGTTAAATGCCCTTCTTGAGGTATGCTAATACATTATTTTATTGATAATTACATTCATCGTCAAAAAATATCATAGTTTATTAAGAAGGAGCATTCTGATTCAAAAATTGGACAATATGTTTACTTTCGGTTTGTGCCTACTCATAGTTGTGATGGTAGTCCATACATTGAATTGATGTTTGATACTCCACAGAAGAAACCTGCTATTGGATGGACTATTGAGCCTCACATAGATCCTTGCAGAGTAAGTATAGTATCAGTGATGTAAATTGTGATAAATTGCTTCTTTATAGTTATATCAAGATGATGTTGATAAATTTGGAAAAGAAAATTATTCACTTCCTCCGTGTTGTCTGGTATCAGTCTATGGATCACCTGGTGCTGTACCATCACTACATTACTCTGTACCACTGGATGGAGTGGTTCGTCCTGTTACATTATTCATTCATCGATCACTGAGAACTGCTCCTCCTCCAATAGTACAAGGTACTAGCTCAAGCTCCTCTACTGCTAGTATCAGTCAAACCAGCAGAGACACTGAAGGAGGTATGGTTGATATTAACATAATAACACACTAATTACTGAATTTGTATCATTAATAGGTACATTTAGATCTGATATTGCTCATAGAGTAATGACAGAGAACATTGTCCTAATAAAGGAAACTCAAATTGATCTTTACTTTTTAGCCGATAAACTTTTAGAGAAGAGTATAATAAATGGAAGAGAGAGAAGTCAAGTAACTGATGAACACTGTGGACTGACAGCTGATCAAAGACTGCATAAACTACTTAACAGTATCATAGGAACCATTAGAGTGGATGGAGAAGTATTTGGTATATTCTTAGATATACTCAGAGAGGAAGGTACTAGAAGAACTATTAAATTAGCTGATAAACTAATAGAAAAATATAATTATATTTAAACCAGTACATTTATTATTATTGTTGTTGTTATTTTGC